ACACACACACACACACACACACACACACATTCTCACTCCTGGAACACAGGGATCCAGGTACTGTGTGTCAGCTCCCAGACGCAGCTGAGAGCAGGGCTGGGGCAGCGTGTGGCTGGCTGGAACCCCGCACCCCTACCCCCACAGTGCCCTCCTGCTGGTCTCCGTGCATCACCTAAGGGCAGTGAGACTCTTCACTGATTCTCACCTGGAGGAAGCCGGCAGCCTGACAGAGACCTGAGAGCTCCTGCCCCTTCGCCTTGCCCTCTCTGGCGTCACCTATTGAGTTCCAATTGCACACCAGGGTCTACCTCCTGCTTTCTAGGCAGTGCCGGGCACCGGTGGCTCACGTCTGTAACCCTCACTATCCAGGAGGCTGAGATCTGAGGATCACGGTTCAAAGCCAGCCCAGGCAGGAAAGGCCGTGAGACTCTTATCTCCAAAAAACCACTAGAAAACCAGACGTGGCGCTGTGGCTCAAGCGGTAGAACACTCTCCTTCAGCTGAAGAGCTAAGGGACAGCGCCCAGGCCCAGAGTTCAAGCTCCAAGACCGACAAAATTAAAAAAAAGAAAAAAGAAAAAAAGAAAAATGTGTTTTCATTAGAGCACTGTCTTAATTACAGACAAGAAAGTCTTGTGATAAAGAGTCTGGAATAAAGATGAGCCCCACCTGTACACTGTGTGAAATGGCAGCAGAAGCGCTTTCTAAGTGTTGTGCTCAAGGAATTTGAAAACTGTTGCTCTCGGAGGTGCTCCTGTGGACGTTCTCCAAGCAGACCCCCATAATTCAGCAGCATGTCAGCCTGCAGTTGTGTGCTAAGCACAGTAGTTCAAGAACGTTGAGAAACGTTTCTGGGAATCTTTGGCAAATCCCTTTACAAGCCTTCCTGACCACGTGTCAGCTGAGTGTGGAGCCTGCGGGGGTAGATGTGGAGCTGGACCTGGCTGGTTGCATCCTATTGATTTAATAGGGAATCTCCATGACCTACCGTGCAGTGTCCGCTTGGCAAACCAGAGAATGTCAACAGGGTTGAGAGGGGACCACACGCTAGAGAGCCACTCACACAGGACCACAGAAGACAGGGCACAGGAAGCACGGAGAAATCGAGACAGTTACTGAGCACAGAACATACAAGGACAGGGCCGGCATTCCAATGCAGGGTGTTTATTCGTGGTAAAGGCTAGCTTTCCCAAATCATCATTGTTCCCACAAGGGCGGTCAGTGCCTACAGATGATTTGACTCATGCATTCACCATCTCCCAGTGGCAAACATTTTCTTCCTCTGTATTGTGGCACATGCAATTTGCTCTTTCTCGTTGTGAGCATTACAGAGCAGTACAACTCTGGGGTAAAAAACATATACTCAAATGACACTATGAATTGCAGTGAAGATGTGAACATTTCAAGAACCCATGACATTTAAGCAGCTTCTGCCATCAAGGTAAGGGCTCCCCCACCATCCAGGGGACAAAAATTCACATTGGTAGCGAAGGCAGGCAGGAATGAAATCAAACACACAGGGTACGGCAGCTTCTACTTCAGCTCCACGTCCTTGCCAGAGATTGCTCAAGATCTAGAGATACACATGACTATCAAGCAAGACCATTTAAATTCTGCCAGAGCAGCAGGGTGTGCAGCCCAGGGCTGGATTTCCCATGACTTATTGCTTTCCCCACACAGGAGGATGACCTTGCACTTGACCTCCTCAGTTCACTCTGGTATTTGTCCAGCTCTGTTACAACCTTGTCATCTAATCTTGCTTGCTTCCCTTTGGATCGACACTTTGTGCAAATATTGTGCACTGATTATGTCTGTTTGCCTGCATACTTCGCTCCTCTGTTTCTTCTGGAACTAAGCTAATATCATTTATTGCTTTCCTGAATGTCAACACCCAACACCATTGGTTTGGCCTTTCCAGTTCATTGGCCACATGTTGTGGGTCAGATGGACCCTGGGGTTCAATAACACTCAATATTATATGAACCGGAGGTTGCAAAAAAAATTAGAAAAATAAGGCAAAGCAGCATAAAACCAAGGAACAGAGCTGCTATTATTTTAGAGACTCGAGACAAACTTTTCAAGTTGTGACTGATTACCTGGGTTGAGCTCGGAGCCCTCACTTGAAACTTCCGGGAGTCAGTGAAGCGGAGCCTGTGCTCTTGGTGCCCACAAGCTTTTGGTGTAGCATGGACCACCCAGTGTGCGCTCTGCTCTGTGCTTTAGCAGCCCCAGGGGAAGGGGAGTGTGCACTCTGGTGTGGGTCACACGAACTACCTAATGGACCACCTCGTGCAGGAAGCAGCACAAAGGGTCAGGATGCCACACAAGAGGACAAGGGCCTTGGTTTGTCCCAGTCAACTTGGGACCAGCCATGTGGCAGCCCTGGACTGCCTGCCTACCTGCCTGCCTGCCTCCCATCCTTCCTTCCTTCCTTCTCTGCAGAGGGCATCAGGTTTGGCCAAGAGGCCTCTGGATGCCACAGCTGCAACCTCTTTGCAGACAGGATGCAAGTTCTGCTTCCTCAGAAAGCACCTTCCTTTAGACTTCTGCACGGTGAATAACAAATGCTGCAACATTTGCTGCAGATCCTCCAGACCTGCCATGCTGTCACAGTGGGCTGTGAACTGCTGTCCTCAGATCTGTGAATCCTGAGAGATGTTTAGTGCCAGCCAAGGAGCCGCCCGCTTCCCCCCCCCCCTGCAGGGCCAGTGAGCATGCAGACCATGTCTTGGATGGGGACACAGTCCTCAGCCTCTCCTCCATTTCTACCTGTCCTTCTTCCCTTTGCCCAGCTGTGATTCAAACCTTCCTGCAGGAAACCTTCCTGCTTAGGTATCTGGAAGCATCTGCCTTGCAATGGCTGTGATTTCTGCAGTGCCATTTGTGTTCAGTTTCCCTGTGGCTAGTCCCCGGTGTCATCTTTATTTGAGTTAGAAGATGATGTGTCTTACACATCTGTTTTCCCTGATTTTAAGAAGAGCATGCTGACTGAGTGGAGACAGTCAATATGGCAGGCTGACTTAATGTACGTGTACAATTGCATTTTAATCACGATGCTTGTTAGCTTGAAGCAGACATCCAAGTGCGTTCCAATTTAAGCCCCTTCTTGTAATATAAATTTCCCAAGGCTATGACAATCACATGCCAAGTTCATACAACAAGGTTGCAACCAAAAAAACAGGCTCAGGCAGGAGACTCGGCCACCAGAACCACAGGAACATAGGGAGGTGTTTTTTTTTTTTTTTTTTTTTTTTTGCCTGATTCTCTTTCAAGTTTGGATCTTTTACACCAGCTCAAAGACTTTTCGCTGAAAACATACGACCACATTTTTTTCTTAAGGCAAAATTTTGATCAATGTAATGAACTTAGAAGCCCAAAACTTCAGGCCTAAACCCTGACTTAACTGGGTAATGGATTTCACAATTGTCAGTCTTCCTCTGTGTGGGTGAGACTGAGGGCCGTGATGGGGTCTTCAGACATCATTCTCAATCTTCTGAAAGTTAGCTGCCACAGGCTAAGACACCCAGAGCAAAGCTGGTTAGTCGGCAAGGCTGCAGATTTTGCATGGGGAGAGGCAACGGATTTGCAATTTTTGTCCCTTTGGCTCTGTGGCCCATGGCTTGGTTCGAATTCTGAGTGGAGATGGTGACCGTGAGCTGTGGTACCCCTGTCAGCTTCGGCTCGTTGTCTCTCAGGAGTGACAGATTTCTTAGCCAGTGTAAGCTCAGGCCACCGGCCAGCCTGGGAGCCAGCCTCTTTTCACCCTGGGCTCCACAGTGAGCATCTACTTCTCTGGGGTGGAAGAGGTTAATGGCCAAAGTGTGGACACCAGGATGTGACCATCAGGACCAGGGGCAGTGGACGTGGGGTGCATTGATGGCCAGCTTATATGGGACTGCCATGTATGGGACTGTCAGAGAGGGGGCATGGGTTGGAGAGAATCCTGTTCTAAAGCATTTCCTACTGCTTCTAAATTTGGAATTCTTAGCTATTTAAGTGGGGGAAAAGCTACTTTTTGTGCTAAAAATGTGATTACTTCCATAAGTTTCTAGCAATCCTAATGGAAATGTCATGCAAAATGAATCGAATTCCAGGTGCAAGGAAAGCCTGGAACTGGGCCAGGTGGCTGTGGACGGTCACCGTCACATTCAAGTGACAGACACCAGGTCTTCTGGCGGTCCCTCTTGGGCAAACCATCCCCAAACAGGTTCTTCACTCAGCCAATGAACAAATAATGCAGTGATTCTGCTTTGGGTACGTTTTCCCTAAAAGATTTCAATTTCATAGTAGACGAGGAATGCTCCAGCTTGTCTCTAGGAAGAGCTTCTGCCCTGTGCCCTCAATGCCACAGTTGAAGAAATTCTATGACCACCACCAACTCTGGGGTCCAAAGACCATGTGCGGAGGGCCAGCTTCTGGAGCGGGGAATTCCACCTCGGGGATCAGATGAATGCGTGCCGCAAGCGCACAGTCCTTGGGTTTCCTGCCTCACATTGCTTACAGGGAACCTGAGTCGGCCAGCCAGGCGCCGTCAGCCCACTGTCCTAGCCAACAACTGCATTGTGTATCTGGGTCAAACGAGAAAGTGATAAGAAATCAAGGAAGGGGCGATTTGGGAGATCTCCAGCCACACTGGGAGGAGCTGAGCTGGGGCTGCTATGAACCCCAGAACAAGTAGGAGTCCACCCTGCCCAGGGAACGGTACATGGGTGGGCAGAAAGCCCGCTCTTCCTTCCCCACTGGCCACCTCTGAGTTTGGCTGTCTACCCTTCGTGCATCCAGGCAGATTCTCGTCGGCTTTCCGGCAGCGTCGCTGATCATTTTAATCAACTGGATTTTTGCAAAGATCTTGGGTGCCTGGCTCATTTCCTGCCCGTGGAATGCGGCTGCAGAAGCCCATGGATGAGGGCTGCAGTGTTTTCAATATTAAAATTCTATAAAACCGAGGAACTACTTTTGGTGCAAGGCCAGCCCACAATGATTGGATGCTCGAGGCAATGCGTCAGGTATGCATGATTTTATTTAAAATGTGTCCAATAAGATTTTTTTTCCACTTGGAATGAACATTTTACCTCTTTCTGTATGTTATTATAAACAGCATTTCCTCATTTCATGGAGTTTCTCAGAAAGGTCTAGGTAACTTAACAGAAGAGAAAAATGACACAGTGGAGAGATTAAATAACAGGAATTGTACACAGTGAGGGTGCTCATATCTCGACCTCGGGGCACACAAGAGACTACTGGGTGAAGAAACAGACCCGGTCATGCAAATCCTCGCAGGGTCACTTGGTGTCCTTGGCAGTTCTGGTGTTCCCTGTCACGAAGCACAGGTGATAAGATGAGTCAGATGACCGCAGTGAATGGGAAATTGTCTTTTGCTTTGGATGGTTGAGAGAAGGCAGGGACACAAACGCGCCATCGTGGGATCATTTCCTACTCTCTGAAGTTCTTTCTCCTCTGATCCCGTGGGGACATCCTGTCCCCCCCCACCACCCCTGGGGCCTCTGCACCCCCCGAATCTCATCGAATGGCACTGATTTAGCTGAGGACAGCAGCACACCACAAAATCAGCACGAGAGAGCACGGTTTGACCGAGCGGGCAGTTGTCAATTTGAAATCGCTAGGGTCTGGCAATGTTAGATCTGAGTTTTCACGAGCCAAAGTGCAGAGCACAAATGAAGTCTAAATGTCATCCTAGCAGACTCCAGGCCACGGGAAGAAAGACATGTCTTCAAGTGACGTTGACCTGCCAGGAAGAGAAACAGACACCGAGCACAGCACATGGGCACCAGCGGTGCCCAGGATGCACAGCGCTCCCAGGAGAGCTGGACGGCGCCAGGGCATGGCGATGGAGCAAGCAGGGGTTGTGAGATTCCCGCCGACTCACTGGAGCTGCTGTCGTGGAGAGAAGCTAAGGGCAACGGGGCAGGGTGGGGGGAGGGCCGGCGGCTGGGAACCGCACCCTGGCCACACCTGTTCTAGAGATGATCGATCACTTATCATGGAAATCCAATCCGGACCCGTTCTCTCTGTAAACACATCGGTTCATAAATAACTTAAAGGTGTCCTTTGCATTCAGGACGCAGTTCTGGCTGGAGTAGAAAAGGATGGAGGGTGAGCGGCATGGAGGTGGCTGGGCGTGGATGTGTGGACGGGCGGCTCGCCGGCAGGCTGGGGGCTCCTCAGCCATCGGACACGGGCGGGGTGACCCAGCCGTATTTTTCGTGAGTCTTCACCAAACTCTTAAAGGTAGCTTCGGCTTCCTTGCGACTGAAGGATTTTTTTGACTTGCCGGCTTTTCTGCAGATCCGTCCCTGTGTGAGAGGAGAGGAGAGCCCAGGTTACACGGTTAGCAGTGATCCTGGCCTCCACCGTGAGTGTGTCAGACACCTAACAGGGTGGGCGTTTCTGATGTCTGCCCAGGGTGGTGTTGGCCACCATCAAGGAAAAGACAACAGAGGACGCAGCAGCCCTGGGACAGAGTATCTGGAGGAGCCAGGGGCTAGCAAACCTACAGGGTTCCGAGGCCCTCTTCCAAACCCACAGCCTCGGCTTGATCTGAACTTGCTCGTTCTGTGTGGCTGGAGGATGGGCTCTGCCCTGCTCGGAGGCAACCAGGGCAAGCTCAGCTCAAGGAAAAGACCACTGACCCCCAGCCAGCGGGCTCTCCCTGGGGCCACACAGCCTCCGGATTTCCTCAGTGAGAGAGGGAGTTCCTCCACCCAATACCGTTCAACTTCTAAGATCTCTTTTAGAGCAGCAGGGATCAATACATTTATCTAAAGTGTGCAAGGCTTAGATAAAGCCAAGCCAAGCCTGGGAGCGATTAGTGAGCGCCTGTAACACACCTCAGTTCACAGCCGTTTCGTGGACCCCGTACTCTTGGAGGCTGAGCGGGACTGGTGTATGCTACGGCGGCCATGGTGCCAGCCCTGTACCTTAGTGAGAACCAAACCTCCCACCACAGGAGGAGTAGCTGGGGACAGGCATCGTCAGGGAGTGGCCACCAGCCCACAGTGGGAGAAGCTGGCCTGGCTTCCGAACCAGCAGCAAAGAGCAGCCAGCACTGGCAATCTGGGCATGGATTCTGCTTCTCTTCCAATACTTGTCTTCTCACCTGTGGGCGTGAGAGTGTCTCCTAGCGGGAGAGGTGGAAGTTGAGGAAGAGCGCACAGTGATTTCCTTCTAGCCTGCTCTCCTCTCCCCCCCCCCTTTTCCTTTTTTTTTTTTTCTTGTGGCACTAAGGGTGAAGTCAGGGCTTGCTCTTGCTAGGAGGTCAGGCCAGCACTGGGCGATGCCTCCAGCCCTTTTCTGTGCTGTTTTTCAGATAGGGTCTCACTTCCTGCCTGCACTGCAATCCACCTGTTTCAAGCTCCCTGTCGCGATTGAGATGTGCCACCATGCCAGGCTCTTTCTGTTGGGGACAGTTTCTTGAACTTGTTCCTCCCAGGCCTGGCCTGAACCATGATCCTCCTGATCTCAGCTGGTATTTGGCTCTGCGATAGCCTTTCTAAAGGCGACTGTGTTTATGAGCTGCTCACAGGGAGAAAAGACAAGAAGTGGCCATGTACTGACCTCTAGAAACGTGCCCACATCTCTCCAGGTTATGCTCCCTGTTTTTATTTTTATTCATTTATTTTTTGGGTCCGGTTGTGGGGCCTGAACTCTGGGCCTGGGCGCTGTCCCTCAGCTCTTCAGCTCAAGGCTAGCGCTCTACCACTGGAGCCACAGCGCCACTTCCTGCTTTTTCTGTTTATGTGGTGCTGAGGAATCGAACCCAAGGCCTCATGCATGCAAGGCAAGCGCTCTACCACTGAGCCACCTTCCCAGCCCCAATACCCATTTCTATTATAACTGGGTACTCTGGTGATGTGGTGTAGTTATGCGAGATGGAAGGGGAGCACCAGGAGCCAGTACCTCCATCATCGCAGTCTTGGCTGAGAGCAGTGTCTAAAGCTAAGTCGCTGGACTGAGCAAAGGTATCTGCAGCAGGCACTGGCCATCGATTTAGACATCCATTGAGAGTAGCTACCAAAGGCCATGTTTTTGAAAAAAATGCATATTTTAACCATCTCTGTTATTCTTGTTGACAATACTGAAGATTTATGGTACGATTTGAGAATTCTGATTGAAAGACAAATGCAGGCTCACAGAAATCTTCACTTTGCCTGATCTTTGTGAATGTCCCAATTGTTACAAGAAATAACAAACACCACCCCAGTGAAACAAACTGCCCTTTGTGGCCCTCTCTTCCCTTGAGGCATCATGAACTTGGAGGTCAGGGCAGAGTCAATTCAACTGGCAGAAGACAGAGCCTGCTAGATGCTGGCCAGCCCCACTTTCCCGAGACTCAGCTGTCAATGAGAGCCCTCAGCCCCAGCCGTCCACCCACACTTGCTCTCAACAGATGCTTTTCAGAGAGGTCCCCCCTCCTCTGATTGGCCACTGCAGGTCCCAAGGGAAACGCACGGTCCGGTTCTTGCTGGAGAACCCCACAGTGCCACTCCCACGGAAGGTGTGGCTGGGGCACCACCTCCTTCCTTCTAGGGTACAGGGCCTCCAGATTTGGACTTTCGGGGATTGATGTGTGGGGCAGCACGGCCAGTGTAAGGAAGTGAGCTTGTGAACACTGAGCATGTTGAACACACACAACGAATTACAAACCAGTTTCCTTATTTTCCTAGCAACTTCCTCCTTCTGTTTCCATCCAGCAAACAATTAGAGGCTAGTCTGAAATATTTCCTTTAGATAACTCATTTCTTCTCGACAGTCACTACTTGTGCTTAATGCGAAAAGACACAGATGTGACAATCTGTCACCCACTGCAAGAGCTTTGTGTCACCACCGGAGCTGAGGATACCTGTGATCTGTCCCTGAGCCAGGTACCGGGCACACCACAACCCAACCTAACCAGCTCATCTAGCCCCTGACACGGGGCATGCGGCTTCTAGGCCAGCCCCTGCCTAACAAAACTGTAAGTGCTCCTCAGAATGACATCCGACCAGAGTCCAGGTGACGTAGAAGGTGGCTTTCCGCTGACTGGAGAGAGTGAGACCATGGGTAAGACTGGAGAATTATGAGCTCTGTGGGGAGGGCTTCTACCTGGATGGACTTTATGCCCGGCCTCTGGCCTCCAGCCTGCAGCAATCAGTGCTGAAGATTGGCCGGGGGAGGTGGGGGGGTGGGAGGGGGGTAGGAGGGTGAGGGTGGGGGGGAGGGGGGGAGGCAGATTGGCCAGGACACAGGGAAGTGGGACACATGCCATTTCTGATAGCACCTGGGGTAAGCCCCAGGGAGAACAGTTACTCCACAAGTGTGGGGATTACGTAGGTAATCCCTGAACTTTACAAATTCTTCCTGTCCTTGTTTTTCCAGCGATCTCTGAAGAATCATAATAACAACAACAAACCTAGCAGGCTCAGAGAGACAAACAGCGTAGGTTTTCTCCCATATGTGGAAGCTAGATCTGAAATACAGCTAGACATGATAACATGTACAGGGCTCCATGCATTTACCCACACACATGCAGGGCTGGACGCCGTTTCCTGAGATACTGAGACACAGTTTTAACTGAGATTTACTGGGATACTGAGGGGTGCACTCCTGAACAACTAACACCAGGAAGTGGACACATGTTTTTGGGGCAGTGGACCATGGGGTGAGCACAGGAATGCAGGAAGTGTGAGCAAATGTAGTCAGTATACTCAATGTACATTATGTACAAAAATGAACTATGTAACTTGAGGGCAGGTCTGGGAGGGGGAAGACAGGAGAGAACAAAGGAAAGGGGGCACTGTGCTCACAACCTGACGCATGGAATTGTCACCCATTGTACAACTACTTAATAATAAAAGCAATGGTGGAAAGAAATCACTAAATCACTAATTAAAAACCATCTAGGTCTTTTAAAAAAAATACATCTTGGCCATGAACAAGTCCGAAGGGTTCTTCCTGGAATCCCCAGAGGCTAAGCAGCCCCCCCTCCCCCCAGCTGGTCGAGTGGACGGCTGAGGTTACCGGGAGAGTCAGAGGCAGGGGTCTCCCTGGCCTGGCAAGTGAAGGCTTCAGTTCATCAAATGAGTTTATGAATGAGTGTGTGAGTGGATGAATGAATGTAACCGACTTCAGTCTCTCCCCAACGGCAGGAAGCAGCACACATCAGCTTTGGTAGGAAATCCACTCTCATGAGGACAAAGCAGGAAAGTCTTGTCTACTATGCAAAGTCACTCTGCTCACGAGGAAATGTTTCCTTTCTAGAAAATTCTAGAACTTCCATAGAAAAATCTTACAGATCAAGATTCTCTGCTATAGTCTTTAAAGTATGTTCCCAATTATTCAGCAATACTCAAGTCTCGCGTCTTGCGTCTCAGGCTGAACGAAGGCAGGAGCAGTTTTGTGTGAAAGTTGACAAGGTCAGCAAACAAAGCTTAACTGAGGAGCTTTCAGGAGAAGCCTCCAGCTCCAGCAGCACCAAAGGCACAGTTCACAGATGCTCACAAACACAAGCATGGCTGCCTGCAACAGTCTAAAGAAAGTTCTAGCGACTGTCGAATCTGCTATGAAACAGATGGTCTTTTCTGGGAGGAAGCAAGCACAGAAAAAGGAACTTTTTGCTAACAAATGTAAACGAGATCAGATGATCATTTTAAAGTTGCTTTTTAAATTTTCTGTGCTAGTCCTGGGTCTTGAACGCAGGGCCTGGGTGCTGTCCCTGAGCCTCTTTGTGCTCAAAGCCAGCGCTCTACCACTTGAGCCACAGCGCCACTTCCAGCTTTTTCTGAGTAGTTTACTAGAGGTAAGAGTCTCATGGACTTTTCCTGCCCAGGGTTGCCTTGAATTGAGATCCTCAGACCTCAGCCTCCCGAGCAGCTAGGATTACAGGTGTGAGCCGCCAGTGCCTGGCTAGAGTTGCTTTTTAGAAGTTCACTACTGCACTTTGGTTCAAGTGGCCAGACTGCAGGAGGCTGAGTTAGCATGGGCCGTGGTGGACAGCAAGACAGGCACATGCTCAAGGTAGACGGGAACATCTGGAAAAGTCCTCCCCCAAATCTTCCTGTACAATACACCAGCAGTTCTCACCACAGGGCCTCAACTTCCACCTGCCCTGAGACACAGAGAGATCACCAGAAGGCTTGAAGTCACGCAGCTAGTGACGGGCCCCAAGCCAGGATTCCGGAAAAGGGATCTGTGGCTTGGGACATACTCCCAAGTCAGGCAGCTCGCACAAGGGCAGAGAAGAATCCTTGATAAGATAAGAGAGAGGGCAAATTGGATAACAACGGTGAATTCAGTCAGCTGTGGCCCCACACCTCCT